GTACAGGCAGTTTATAGTGACTTTGGTTTTATGCTTTTTAACTGAGGCAAACTTAATAAGAATTTAAAGCAGTGCCTAGTATAGAATAGTAGGCCCCTTGGAAATGGGATGTTGTAAAGTATAATGCTTTGGAAAGGCTGAAATAAATTGGAGGCTGTAGAAGTTTTTTATGATATTAAAATGTAAAGCAGAAGATAAGTTAAAGCAACTCCAGTTGAGGAGTCATGCCTGGTAATCTGTAGCGTAAGATCAAATTTGTAGTTTAAAACAATTTTCTGAAACTTGACTAGGCTGGTTTCTGTGTTATTAGGGGCAGGAACACCTCTCTGTTAAAAGTGGTTTGCTTTTTAATAGGGTTTAACCATAATTGTCTAGTTTTTGCTCGTTGTTCAAAACAGTTCCATCTCAGGTTGGTCAACTATTGTTGGCTTAATTTCAGTTGCTACCAGCATTCAACAGAAATGCTGCTTTAAGCTTGTCTTTCAGTGAATCACATGTTTGTACAATAACAGATTTGTTAGAAGAACTTAAAGACAGAAAGAGAAGAGCCAGTATTCAGGGTGAATCACCTTCTGGTCCATCTAGAACCATCTTTCTCTAAACTGTCCTATTTTAATCACAAAGAATATTTTCACAGGAAAGTACAGCTCTAACATGTGCATCAGTGTGATCCTAGTTTTTGAGTCACCGACTCTGCTTGTTTCTGTTTAAACAAATAGCAAATCCCATGAGAAATCCCATAGCCCTTGCTTCTTTCAGCATTTCTGTTAGTTTTGACATATTTATCGATTCCTTTGGCTACACGTGAGCAAGCAATGCTGATTTTGACTTGTCTCATCTTATTCTGCTGTAGTAAAAAATGTTTGCTAGTCTCTCTTGTATGATATCTTTTCTCGCAGTTGCTTGCCTTTTTGTCCTTCCTGCTCTTAAATCCCTCAGTTACACTAGGTTGGTGGAAATTGTTTAAATGTACAACCCAAATTCTCCAGTGAGGTTTGGCTAACCAACAAGCTATTCAAGTGGTTTTGTCTCCCGGGTATGTCTTCATCCTTTGCTTTTCCAGGTTTCTTGAATATCCTTGAACCCATAATTTACCCTAATCTCCTCTAAGGCTTTGAAATAATAAAATACTTAAATAAAACTCTTTGGGTAAATGCCCTTTAAAATATAGCTTTATCTGTGAACTATCACGCTCTCAAGGGAATGGATTTTGTTCCTTAGATGATTAAGGGGATTTTCTGTCCACTGTGTTACTGTGGTTTGTCCACTGCGATCAGGCATACCCATCTTAACTCCTGCAACAACTCAAACCAGAAAAGATGAGGAAAGTCTGGGAGAAAAATGGGACAGAGGCTAGACTGCTGCTGTGTGTGATTTTTTTTCTGGTGCCTGGGTTCAGTTCCGTGATCTACCACATGATTTTCTGTGGGTCACGAAGCCTTCCTGTGCTTTTGAAAAATAATTCTCTGCTCAACAGGGATGTTGCTGAGGATAAATTAAGGCTGGCAAAGTGCCTAGCCATTGCAGAGGGGTAGTCTTATACACACAGAAAGGCTGTACTCAGATCCTTACTTCACAAAATAGGAAGAGGGAGATCACTTGACTTGCTATCACAAAATCCACAGGGGAAGTCTGAGGCAGAGCAGGGGCCTGAATCCAGTTTTTCTGCCAGAGGCCCCATGTGGTCCATTTTCCCCTGAAATCCTTTTCACAGTCCTAGCTAGGCCTAAACCTGGAGTCCTGCAGGTGCCTCCCAGGTGAGAAAGGGAGGCTTGGAGGACCTCACCAGGGCCCCCTGTGCTGCAGCCCATCAGGGCACCCCGACAGGCCCTGGAGACCCACATAATTTGGACATCGGTCAGAATCACGGAAGCCTGTCTTCACTGTTGCTCATTTTGCAGGTAAAGGGAGATGACTTCAGTTTTTCTCCCTTCCCACTCAGCTCAGCTAGTTATTAATTTCAATCAGCAAGAAGGATCTGCAAAATAGCACTGAAATGGGGGAAAAGGAACATCACTTCTCCACTTTTGGAGTTCTATACCTAAATTCCAGGAAGAAAGGTTTGGGGCTTGTGTGTAATTTCTGACTAATTTGCTTCTGAAGCTAATTATTGTTAAAAATCAAAAATTGCTCAAAAACATCAGGAAAAGGAAGCTTTCCTTTTAATGTTACTGCACCACTAAAATTTAAAATTCTCGTCAAAATCTAGTAATATAACTATTATTTTAAAATGATGCATTTGAGATTGTTTCTCCGTTTTCAGGCATACTCTCCAGAAAGACATACATATTTCTTCATGTTAAGTGATAGGAAATGCAAATACACCACAGTTTAAGTATGAAGATTACAGAGATTTATGACTCTCTTTATACATTTTTTGTGTGTAATAAAATGCAGGGAAACTATATGTAGCAAATATTTTCTAATTTTTTTAGCTTGTTCCTGCTCAAATACTACACTTTGTCCTACTTTTTTTTTTTTTTTTTTTTTTTCTGGGAATTTTCCTCCTAGTAGTCTCAGTTTCTGATCTGAAGTTCAAAATTTTCTGTACCTGAGGTTTATGATGATGAAGTATCACCAATGAAACCAGTGCTCCAGCTGGATAAATCTTTTCTCAGATGCCTCCAAATGCTTAGGAGAATGATTATCTCCTGGTAGCTATATTCCTTGATTAATTTTATGCTTATTTAGAAACAGCAAAAGCATAGAGAAATTAATCTGAGACCTTATTGAGTTCACCTCATCCCTAGTGCCTGATTTTCAAGAGCTCAGAGGATAAAGTACTACCTTTCCTTTTGGCTGTCTTTGTTTTTTGGCTGGCATGCAACAGCATGAGAACCGATCAGTTTTTTTGGCAGTATGTTTCAGAGTGAGAAGCTCCTGCATTTCACAGTGCCCAGGACGATGCCAAACTTATGAGCCTTGCCTGCAGTCTTGGGGGTGGAGGGATGAACAGTTAGACCAAGTTCAGTGCGGCTTCATGGCAGAACTAGAAAGGGGAGCATCTGTTGAAATTAATGATGGGAACAATGTAAATTACTTCTGTCAGCCTATACCCACTCACTGTCTTCTGGAGGAGATGAGATGGAATTTCTGAGAAAGGGAGAACATGTGGTGCAATGGACAGAACTGACAGGGTTAGAGTAGCAAGGCCCTTGCAAGATTCTGCAGTGTGAGAGGAGAACACGAACTACCCTGTGCCAGTCCAGAAAAAAAATACTGTAGCCCATGGGTGAACCACACTGGTGCAAGTACAGATGTGAGGGACTGTGGCCCATGGGCAACCATGCTAGGGCAGGGACACCCCTGAGGGTTTGCAGTCATGAGCAACCCATGCCAGGGCTCAGACCATGCTGAAAACAGGAGTCAGAAGTTTTTGTTGGTTGGTAAAAAATGAAATAAAATCATTTGGCTCAAGACTGTTTTGCACACAGCACACCGCCTGGTTCAGATTTTTTTTTTCTGCTCACCTATGGTGGGGCATTTTGGAACGGCAGCTGAGACTCAAAGAATCACAGAATCATTTAGGTTGGAAAAGACCTTTAAGATCATCAAGTCTAACCATTAACCTAGCACTGTCAAGTCCACCACTAAACCATGTCCGTAAGCACCACATTTACACGTCTTTTAAATACCACCAGGGATGGTGACTCCACCACTCCCCTGGGCAGCCTGTTCCAATGCTTGACAACCCTCTCAGTGAAGAAATATTTCCTAATATCCAATTTAAACCTCCCCTCATGCAACTTGAGGCCATTTCTTCTCATCCTAGCACTTGCTATCTGAGAAGAGAGACCAACACCCACCTCACTACAACCTCCTTTCAGGCAGTTGTAGAAAGCAATAAGGTCTCCCCTCAGTGCCCTTTTCTCCAGGCTAAACAACCACCGTTTCCTCAGCCGCTCCTCATAGACTTGTTCTCTAAACCCTTCACCAGCTTCATTGCTCCTCTTTGGACCTGCTCCAGCACCTCAATGTCTTTCTTGTAGTGAGGGGCCCAAAACTGCACACAATATTCGAGGTGCGGCCTCACAGCCCGAGTACAGGGGCACGATCCCTTCCCTGCTCCTGCTGGCCACACTACTTCTGATATAGGCCAGGATGCTGTTGGCCTTCTTGGCCACCTGGGCACACTGCTGGCTCATGTTCAGCCAGCTGTTGACCAGCACCTCCACGTCCTTTTCTGCTGGGCACCTTTCCAGCCACTCATCCCCAAGCCTGTAAAGTTGCATGGGCTTGTTATGACCCAAGTGGAGGACTCCATCGTGCATGTTACAAGAATGGTCTCACTGGAAAAACTGCAAGCTTATAACATTTCCCTCTTCGATCTTGGCGTCTACTTTTATAGGCAAGCATATGCACAAATAGAAATATGTCTATAAAATATATCTGAAATTTCTGTTTTATTGAGGAGTCTTTAGATTTTGAATATGAGCATTGCACATATAAATGATCTGTTGTGTTACATGAGGTGCCTCATAATATTCTCCTACCTTGCTTATTTTCTCTTCAGACCTCTTGCACTGAGCCATTGCAGATATTATGGGTATCAGTTTAGGTAAGTATTGATGTTAGAGATCCTATTTGGATCTTAGAACAGACTTTTCAGCTTGTTATTGTAGACTAGTTAATGCGTAGCTAATAAAATAAACAAGTTTCCATTGCTGTCTCATTTTTGTTGTGAAGGATGTTTCTACCATCACCATTTTTGCTCTGAAGACTCCAAGCCACTGTTTTCAGCTTCATAATGACTGAAGGAGGTTCAGAGATTTCCTAATTACAATAATTCAGTGTATGTTACAGAAAGGTTGCAATCACTACCATTTCAAAGCAGTAGCTGAATAACCCCAGATATGATGAATCAGCTAGTATTTGAATAGGCTAAAAAGGCAGAGGTTTATTTTCAGTTTTGGGTAATATTTGTGTGACTTTCCTGGGGAAGGGGATCATAGAGCAGTTTTCACATAGGAATAGCATTCCTACAGCATTAATTTATTTTTTCTAGTTTTTGAGAGTGGACCAAGACAAAGACAGAGAATGCAGCCTGGACTGTGCAGGTTCCCCTCAGAAGTCACTCTGTGCATCTGATGGAAGAACTTTTCTGTCCCGATGTGAATTTCAACGAGCAAAATGCAAAGACCCTCAGCTGGAAATAGCCTACCGGGGCAACTGCAAAGGTGAGAATATCAAAGTTTCTCTTGACCATAATGGAAAATAATAGACTTTAAATGGTATTTGAAAATATCTGTATGTTGAAGACTAGGGTGCTGTACTTGAAGATTTTTCTAAAAGCAAGTAGGTTGAAATCCATCCTGTTAATTCTATAACAATATGCTACATAAAGATAAATTAATCTTTATCCATCAGCAAAAATATGACTGCCCCACCTGTCTACACTATAATAAGTCACTGCTAAGGAATTGGTAAGGTTAGGTCCTTGTTCTGAAAGACCATATAATTGGCAGGCTCAGAGTAAATTTTAAGAGTGTTATCTCCTGAGGTTTCTTGTCTACTGCAGTTTGCTATTTTGAGTTAGAGATGGTCAAATTCAGTCTTGTGTTTCTGAACTGCAATCATTTAGTAGGGCGGGGGGGGGCGAAGAAAAAAAAGAAAAAAAATATTTGTAAAGCTTAGCGCCCTCACAGGCCATTCCTACCTACATCATCCATTCTTTTACCTTACTCAATTGTAGGGTGACTCCCAACAAATGATCTTTCTAAAACATAAGAATAACAGTGGACATAAAGATTTACTTTCCCTTCCTCTGTCCAAAACAGAGAGTAGGGGGAAAGAAAACTCCAGGGACCACACTGATTCAACCCCTAGGAGGCAATTTTCCACATCATCTCTCTCCATTTGCTCCAGCAAACCTCTGAAGCATCAAGACTACTTCAAAGAGACATTCTGTCTCATCTTCTGCCTAGATGAAACACTGTGCTCATTCTTCAGCCCTTTCATAATAAGCCACTGTATTAGCTGATGGATCTATTTACTTTTGCGAACAAGGATAACATAATGAAGCTACCTGAGCCAAAGGTTTTGTTACACTCATGAATGACAGAAAGAATCATTGTGCACTTTGTATTTGTTCATTTTATACATTAGAGCATTATACACTTTTATGGAAATTAGTTTTGAGTGGTTTTCTTTATTGTTTTTTCCTCTTACTATATTGACAATGTCATCTGCAAGAATTTTTTTCCATAAAGAGGCGTTGAATTGCCCTACTGAAGGTGTTCTTGGTGATGCTGGCAAATTTTTCTGCAATCAATCACTCAATTTGGGGAGTGCTCGTTTGCTTTTTATTTATTAATGAATAGTGTGTCAGTACAATTGTAGACTAGGAATTAGACACCTCAGGCAGCTTAAGTGTTGCTAATAACAAGTACACATCACACCTTCATCAATCAGATACTTTTAATCTTTTAAATGAATGCAAACATCATTCTAATATTTATTTTTTTTTCCTTTGATTGGCGATAGACACATGATTGCCAATAATATACTTGTTCAGTATCAGCAAGAGACAGTGCTCTTTTAAATTTTACATTTTCATAGTATTTCTCATTCAATCAAAGCAGTCAAAGAGTTTGAAGTGACCAATACCTTTATTCCTACCCAGGGATGCAATCATGAGAAATATTTCAAGCTGTAAAAACAAGTTTTAGAGAAGAAAAAGATGATTTGTTGGCCTTGCTGCAGTTTCAGTTTTAGCATTGCTAGAGCTACTTTTCATAGTCCCATCATACATTCTTCTGAAAGGGCTAAGGAAGTCCTCAGATTAAGAACTCTTTTGAGCCAGTTGCTTTTGAGTGGTGGAATTTGTTGTTGCAGGTGATGCATGACCAAAAAGCAGAGGGTTGTTTTAGCAGCGCTAACCAAAAAGTAATGCTTCTATTTCAGGACAACTTTCAAGGTTTCAGAATTTGCTTTCATTCCATGTTGGAATGAAAGCAAATCCTTTTGGAAGTGTTCATCTGTCCCCCTAAAAAAACAAGACACCCCACTCCCCCATTAAAACATTGGTTTTGAAACAAGTTTTGAGGTTGCTAATGCAGGGAAAAGGGAAAGAAGCATGCATGTTTATGTGGAAGTTATGAAGGGAGAAGAGAGATGATTCCTGGTATAGGATTCACAACTTTAAATCTCTGTCTGATATTCATCCATCACTGATCAGAAAAGCCAGCCTTAAGTCCCTGTTAGTCTCCTCCTGTCCTCTTCTCAAGTAAAAATCCATGTTCGCCTCACAAAAGTGTTGTCTAAAAATTTAATACTTCCAGGTACCATCTTAATTAGTTGGAAACATGGTGACTAGCTTTTTGGTCTGTTCAGTGTATTCACTAGAAATCTAAACACCTTGACAGTTTATGTCGACAACTTTTTGAAATAATTTTGAAGCCATCATTTCTTGTTTATATATTCAGAACTGTGACTTATTTTTACATCCTTAAGGGAGTTTGAACCACTACCAGACTCATGGCTGCTTTCTCTGTGTCTGTTTTCTGGAGAAAGCCAAATTTAGATTGACTGTCTTTTCTCCTCCTTGCCTGTTCTCAACATTTGTCTCATCTCTTTGGTTTTGATCACTTAAATACTGAAATTGCAAAGGCATGGTTTGCTTTAAGTGTGTTTGCTTTCTTTTCTTAATTCAAGTTTTGTTCTCAGCAACAGTGCTTAGGCCAGGTAATTCTTTAGCGTAGCAAAGGAAACCATTTTTAGATCCTGGATCTTAAAACTAAATGACAGAAAACTGGCAGAATTTAAACCATTTTCTTTTCTCTCACTCCTTTCCTTCGAGTTCCTGATGGCTGCAGCAGAGATCAAAACAGCTTAAACAAACCTGAAAATTAACGAACCCTGAACCTTCCCCTCAGTTCTGAAAAACAACTTACCTTTGACAAAATGAACATCAAAATAGACTGTTCTGATAGTGGGTTTTTCTGAAGATGTTATGAAGTTTGATAATATTTCTCTCTTGATTTTGCAGTCCACTTCCAGTCAGTGCTGGAATCCATTTCTAAGCTTGGAAATGCTGTAAGAAGTTACACTTTTGTAAAATTTCCAGCCTGCTTTTGCAGTTTCAAAGGTCTTAAATAATCTGCATATACTGTAGATGAACATCCTCATTTTTGGATACTTTTCGAAACAAAATCTAGACTGAAATTCTGGAGATTTGCCACTTGTTTAACATAGCAATATGATTGCTTTTGGTTTGGTCAGAAAGACACAGAGGCTATGTCTACAGTAATTAATTAAGCAGTGCCAGAACACAGTATGACTGCCTACACAGGTAAGCTGGTAGAGTGCTCCCTGTTGCACTTTGAGCACGGGCCAGCTAGCACTTTCCTGAGGACTGTATCTATGTGGCTGGGGGGTTATATGGGCTACTGGGACTGTTCCCAGTAGGCAGCATGCACAGAACCACTTTCTTTTAGGTGATTGAGGCTGTTCAACCTGAGAACGGAGCCTAGCTGCTCTTACAGGACTGCCCGAGTCTGTTTGCACTCAGCCTTGTTCTCTCCACTACAGCTCGTGAGGATGGGACTAGAGAGCTCTGGATGTCACACAGCAAGGCTTTGTAACTTACTGAACCAAGCCTTTGGTATTCTTTGTTAGTGCCTGCAAAAAGTACAAGTTGAAGTTTCTTAGTCTTGAAAATAGGACCAACCATACAGAAGTACCACATCTACAACACCAAAAAAAGAAAAAAAGAGGGAAAAACCTCAAAGGAAGAACCCCTTCGATTTATATCGATGCAGTTGCCCATTATGATTAGGAAGTGTTGCTCAGCACTGAAGTCTGTAACTACAGTTTTACTTTTAACATGATATAGAACATGATATAGGTTACTTCAAAAGATTGTGCTTGTATGGAAACTGAAATGCACAAGACATCAGCTAAAAGCGTCTTCCCCAGCAGAAATGGGAAAGGCATTGCTATGTGAAGAGCTCTCATTTATCTTACAAATGTAAAGGCTGAATGTCTGTCACAAATCATGATAGAAGAGACTGCCTGAAACAAGTTATTTTGTTTTTTTGATGGAGCATATTGTGCATCCCATATGGAGAGGTCTGTTGTGGGTTTTTCTTTTTCTTTGTTAACTGATCAGGATTACTCTGTAAAATTTAGTCGTATCATTGTAGAGTTTTATTGTACAAAGACTATTCAAATTTTCTATTGTCATCAAAATTTTGCATTATAAATACAAAAAAAAATGAGAGAACACTTCAGCAAATTTCTGCAGGCACCTATCAGTTTCACCTATGCTAAATTCTATCAGGTTTGCTACCCTATTTCTTCTTCACTACAGAACAAGTGTTTTTCCCATGAACTTTGAAAATGTGAACTTGTATTTTTCCTATAGCAAATATTTGCAAATAATTTTAGGCTTTTCAAGTAGTTTTCTGTGACAGTAAATAATGTGTATTAACTTTGAAACCTAAAATTATGATTCCTGGGTGGAGGCAAGTGGGATTGAAGGTTTTTTCAATGAAACTCCTTTTTTTTTTGACATGACAACAAGCTTTAGTCCTAACTTGGTTAGTGGAAGATTTTTTGATGGGGTTAATGGAGTTTTTCAGAGTTCAGAAACCTTGAATAACTCCTTTCCATTGGAAAGCCTTTCATCTGCTATCTAAGCAACTTCAGGTCTCAAGTGTAGGAAGTCTGCCAGCTGATTGCATCTTGTTCAAAGTGAGCAATAATCTGTAACAGGAGTGTCTAGTGGAGGGACCACAGGTTTTCTCTCTAATGGACCATCAGGTGAACACTGAGCAGTGGCCAGCAGCAGTTCAATTTGCAGTTTTGCTAATGGTGTAAGGGTGAATTAGAACAGATAGCACTGTAGTTCATCTGGGGTAGTTTGAACTTTACTTAAGCATTTAAGCTCTTTATGTGAATGTTTTCCAAGATTTAGGCAGCTTGTCATGAGGAAGCCAAAGAGCATGTGCAATGCTGTGACTGAATTTTGAATGTCTGTGGCTACTGGGAATATTTCATCTGACCTACAAAGCCTCTATCTCCCATGGACATGTCCCTTTTAGAGTTAATTAAGAGGAGTTCCTGTTTTTATTTAATTAAAGTTTGCCCTTAAAGTGGTCTATAAGCATTGCAGGATAATGCACTCAAAAATACCCTTTTTTTTTTTTTTTATCTTTTCTCTTCTTGTACCTTAAAC